AATTTCCAACTATGTACACATGTTTGTAAGCAAGTGAACCTTTCAACAATTAATATCAATTGAGACATAATGAGAAATGCAACTAATTCCAAGATCAAAATGTCTGTGAGCCACTTAACTCAGAAAATGTATTGTGAAAGAGTGATGAGGTGGGCAACTGATACAAGTTAATTGGAATCAATTGGTCACTGGGTTCAGTGCTGGGGAATTATTCTTTTAGTTCTTTCTGGAACTATATGATGCGAAATGGGGGGTTCAGGCATAAACCCAACACTGTGAATTGCTTCAATTGTTTATAATCTGATATTAAACAAGAACCGTGGGAACAGTTTAAGTTTTTTGCTGTTTAATTGAACTCACTTATCTTATGTAAACATTGGTGGCTAAATTGGTCAGTGACACTTTTGCAGACGAAAATAATCCCATGCTTTTCTGAGATAAAAGAAAACTCATTGAATTCACTGCATCATTTCTCAAAATGCAATCAGTCAAAAACACATGTGTTCACATTAACTGTTTTCTTTTTTTTCCAAGGCAGAAAACTGATAGGGATTTGTACTCTCATGTTATCAGATATAAGCAAGAGAAGCCCTGTACACATACGATTATCGCCACACAGTGCAAATATTATAGAGCAACTGTGAGTAAAAATGTGACATAGGAAGATAAAGAAAGATTTGGATGGCAACTTCTATATTTCAAGAATTTTCAAAACTGTGTTGTCTTGCAAACAGCTGCCCTCTTTTAAACTTCCACTGAACTAGAGAAAGATGTTTTTGTCTTATCAGGAGTGTGGGACAAAGAAAAAATTATGAGTCTCCATGAAGAATAGAGGAAGAAACTATAATAGACCTCACTCAACATAGAGTCTCTGTGGTTCAATGGTAAAGCATCAGAGTGCAGAATCTGAAGTTCTGAGGTTCTATTCCTCATGGGGTCTCAGAATTTTTTCTTTGTCCCACTCTTGCGAGAAGACAGTAAACATCTTTCTCTATTTCTTTACTGAGCTCAAAACTAACCATCTCTCTTAATCTATTTCCATTAAACTAGCTGACCAGTGAGAGCACACAAAGACTA